GAGGTCCTCAATCAGGGGAACAAAAACGTTATTTGCCCCAAAATACTTAAAGTCCTGTTCCCTACATAAGACAACAAGTTGCATCTGATCAATAGAAGATCTATTATGAGGCAAGATGTCAGTCAGAGTTAGGTAAACCGCTAAAACCTTGTGCTTTTTTTTCCCTGAGCCCAGGGGGTTGACAACCTCAAAGGCATCTTGGTACAGTATTAAACCAAGTGAAGAAGGGTCAGCTTTCAACATTGGATTACTTTGAAAGCCTTCTCCATCCTTGACATCCTGATAGACAGCATCAGTAGATGGCTGCAAACGTGTCATGGTATACTGTTCGCGTAGAGACTCATTTTTGAAAAGTGTCACCAATGTCTCATGTATAGGAACATACTGAGCAAAACATTCTTTGTCATTTTCATCATTGCCCAAGAGCAAAGGAACGGGATGAACATAGTTAAAACACTCTTTAAAAGCAGCCTTCCTCTTTGCATCTGTACTGAGCATTCCCCTGTTATAGAGTGTGAGTAGATCATCTCTGTTCATTTCCTCAATGATGCTGCTTATAATGGCCTGAGGGATTCCGAGTTCTTTTAGTTTCTCACTCAGAATGTTTAGGGAATTGGACAGGCCAAGTTCATGAGCACTTTGAAAGCCATCAATAATGGTTTGAATGGAGCTTGCTGGTAAGAGTAGCTTAGATTGCAATTTCAGGTAGAAAAGTGTAAGGTTCTGTAAAAATAGGTTTTCGTCGACAGCTAATGGCATTTGTGGTTCATTATGTTCCTCGGCAGCCTCTGAATATGACTGACTGGGTCCTGGCAACGGCTCTGTAGCAATAGACTTTTGTAAAACAAGGTCATCTAAAACTGAATCCTCTGCACACCTATGTTTTCTGGAAATATGTGAAGCAAAAGTCATCACGTGTGTGAACTTGCAATCACAACCTCTAAATGGACATCTAGTTTCCATTCCTCCCCTTATGTGCGTCTTCAAATGCTTAATAAGAGAGGCCAAAGTGTCACACTTAAATGCACAAGCCTCAAGCAGACATTTCAAGGGTGTGTCAGGTGGTAGAGCTGATGTGCCAGGAAGTATAGGCCCAGCAGCCTGAGGGTAGGACCTATGCTGCCTATACATATGAATTTGCAGTCCTGTGTGTTTTCTGTACCTCCGTGAGCAGTTAGGCACCCCACACTGGTAGTGATAATTGGGGGCATTGCTATGCAGTTTTGTGTGCTGAACATAGTTACACACATTCTCAGACACATGCTCACAGCCAACGAATTTACAGTTGAACATTGTGGTGCATGTTAACTAGTCACCTACCTAATCTATTTCTCCTCACTCTTAGCCTGACACTGAACAGGATGGTTAGCCTCACCCTCTGATGACCTGGAAAGAAAAGAAAAGAAAAAGGAGAAATTACACAAAGGCAACCAACAATAAGAATTTCAGTTTGAATTTCATGTCAAACAAACGGTAGTAGATAACGTGATTACCGATAATCTCAATAAAAGAAACGCTGCAAATAAAAAGACGCAAAGGAAGTGAATTGCCGGGTTTATGAGAGAAGAAGAGGGAGAAATAAGAAAAACGAACGTAAGTGAAAAGGTTGGTGTTTAATTTCGCTACGTGTACTTTTCAATGTGTTATGGTTAGGCCCTGTAGCTAAACTAGAGGATGCTGTATTATTAGCTTCAGCTAACACGGGGAAACACAGTGTCTATGTGCGGAAAGACCACTCATGAGAGGAGAATCGAGTTCGGCAACTTTACTCGAATATGTGTAGCGGACTCAAAGACTCAATGGTCTTGATGCCACACATTTAATGAATCTTTGTTTCTGTAGAAACATACAAAATACTCTCAGTACGGATGGCAACGAACATTCACAGCTTACTTCAGCAAAGAACTAAATTAATCTACTCTTCTTACATTGAAAACTCATAGCCGAAGCGTCACTAATACATGTCAAAGCGGGAAACCATACGCGGGCTATTCATGACACAAAACAAGCTAGACAGCTAGCATGGCAAACGGCACATATATCGCTTCTAAATTAAGGCCACTTAAAATTAATAAATTGTTTTATATGGCCGCCCGCCTCAATTTTTTGGTGCCGCCTCGATATTTTTTATATTTTTCAAAAAATCCGTTTTTTTCACCTCAAAAACTGTTAGAGATCGTCAATACGCACGTACACCATTTACCGTTAGTTTAACAACTAACGGTGGTCGTTTGAAATCATCTTGTGTTTCTCTCAAAATGGCCGCCGTGGGTGAGAAATCTTGAATGTCAGCATCGGATTTTTCAATTTGACGCTTCTCGGACAATGGTTTTTATCGTTTGTCAGATTGTGTGTGGGCCCACGGTATTAAAATCTTGGCAGAACATCAATATACCGAGTAATGTTACCCTTCGCGAGCTGTTTGAGAACTTTTCTAGTTTTAGTATATCTCTGTTATATTTTTTTCGCTAAAAATATAAAATCCCCTACTCACCAATATTTTAGAAGTTTGAGTCATGTAAAACAATTTATTAATTTTAAGTGGCCTAAACACATGAAACAAATAAAATGTTCTATGTCATTACATGTCACTTACGCTAACAAGGTTATGTTATTCGTTTTTAACACCAGCTCACCTGTAGAAAAATACAAAATACTCTCAGTAGATGACAACGAACATTCACGGCTTGCATCAACAAAGAACTCAATTAATCTACTACGTCCCTGCTGAGATTCTCGTGAATACAGACTGATTCCACAGCGCGCGGCTGGTGTACTGAATAACTAAATACAACCAGAGAATGTCCAATGATACAACCCAAACTCTTGAACAAACACCACATCCCTGTTATCTTTCTTCTCAAATCACTTACATCGAACTGAGGGCACTACATATGCAGCAAAACACTTACGTGCACCGCCGCAGGCTCTCACTCTAGAGCAGACTACACCCCGCGAACAAATATGAATACAACAGGTAGTACTGAGTCAGGAACGAGAACACATCCGGCGGCTAACTGACCAGCATCCTCCAGTTCAGCTTCAAATCAAACATGGGCTACATGGCCTAACCATATAACACTTTGAAAAGTACACGTCGCGACAATAAACACTAGCTCAGTCATGTTGTAACTAGGATATCCGCTGGAATTTTTTTTATGGACCGTTTCAATCACTAAGTTATTAAAGTTAAACCGCTAACGGTTAGCCCTGCTAATCTATGATAACCTTGACTAATTACAGAAATGTGCACACATAAATAGTAATGTTTGTCCCATCATTGGTTTTTATAAACTTTACAAACACCAGATTTGTCTAAACGGTGATAGTGACATGAAAAATTATTAGTGAAACTGTCGTCATTACTAACTACTATTAGCAAATGCTGTGAGAGAACTTTCAACAATTCCGGGCACTTACTAACAAAATGTGAACTGTGTCATGCGATAAACGTTCATTTGAAAGTAAATTATCATATTAAAATAGCATGGGTGTACAGTAAGTGCTGCAAACATGCATGCTGCTCACCTTCTCCATTCAGCCCGCAAGAAAAGAGGGAGACGACGGCGCCTTCAGTTTAATTAAAACAGTTCGGTTATGTCATGTGACTTCCCAGGGCATATTTCAATACAATATTTCACTGTAATTATACTGTTTAATGCTGTGAAATCCTTAATTTTTTTCATTGTGTTGCTGTGATATTACCGACCTTGTTGTGATATAACAGCAGGTTTTAGATTGCAAGATTTTACTGT